CGGGCACACTCTCCCGCACCTCAAGCCGAGCGTACTGTTGGCTTTCTCACTCACAGATAGTGTCCATCGTGTCAACGCAGGCTCAGGTGACGCATGCTTTCCGGATGTTTGCGGCGCGCACCCTGGACGAGCAGGGCTGTCAGGACGGGGTGAGAATGCTGACTAGGACAACACCTGATTGAACCAGCGGGCCCGTGGCTGCTGGCTCCTTGCCACACTGCAGTGCATACCAGCACAGAAGTGCACTGCAGTGCATACCAGCACAGACGTGCTCGCGCAGCACCTCACGGCGCACTGCTGGTTCTCCATCATCACCCTGCCTCCCCCCCCCCTCTGTCTTCTTTGACCCCATGCTTTACCACACGGCTTGGCCGCTGGCTGCGCACAGCGCTTCCGCTGAGCTGCATCAAGATCTTCAAACCCAAGGGCCTGCTGGCATCCTAGGGCTGGGTCAAAGACAACCCAGCAGCCTTCTTCCCTGAGCGCTTCTGCGTCGTTCTGTCTGACAACCTTTTTCATATTTTATTCCCCTTCCTGGCTGCGCTGCGCGACCAGGTGCGGTGGGGGTGTTGCAAGGAGATTGCTGCCAACTGTTTGCTGCTTGATTCCCCTAAACCTTCTCACCCCAAAGAAACGGTAAGCATGCCGGCCCCTTTTCTTGTGCGTAGGTGGCAGCGATGGGAGCGAGGCCCCCGCCGTCAGCGCTCCCCTGCCCAAGGTGCTGTCGCACCTGGCTCAGGTGGTGGTGCAGGACGCGTGCGAGCTGCTGAGCAGCGAAGAGACAGACGGACGGCGGGCCGCCGAGGCAAACCCCATCCACAGGTTCCTGATTCAGTGTCAGGAGTCCAGGTGGGATCTTGCATGGGGGGGAACCACGCATGATTGTAAACATGAGGCAGAAAACACACTGCTGTGAAGTGAATGGCATACAAGGTGCTGGGCCCATCCCAAGAAGGGTTGTGGGTGGTCATTGTGCAATCTGGCTGCCACCCCCACACCAGGAACGTGCTGACCCAGCATCAGCAGAAGCTCAAGGCTGGCGCACACGACTACGTGCGGCCCGTGAGCACCCGCGAGCTAGTCCAGCAGCTGCGCGCAGAGCTGGCTGGCATGCGGACAATGATGGAGCAGCAGCAGCAGCAAAAGCAGCAGATGCAGCAGCAGCAGCTTGCTTTGAACAACGGCAGCGCTGCGGCGCCCCTATCAAGTGAGGGGCGCCAGCTGCTCAACCCCGCGATAGACAGCATGGCGCACCTGGGCCCAGGTTTGGGCAGCTTCGACGCCAGGAGCCTCAGCGCGCTGCTTGCCAGTGTGCTGAGTGCCACGATGCAGCAGGGCAGCAACAGCGGCGGCGGCTCGGCATCAGGTCCCTCCTCTGCTGTGGCTGCTGCGGCTGCAGGAGCAGCAGCAGCAGCAGCTGCGGCGCTCTCTGGCGGCTCCTGGGGCAGCGGTGGCAACGGCGGCGTTGTATGCGGCGGCAGCACCAGCGGCGTTGGCCCAACGCAGGAGCCAGCGGCGGCGTGGCCTCCGCTGGCGCGGCTGCGGGCCTTGGGGTGCCCCGTTGAGGGCCATCCCCAAGCTCAGCACCTTCGTCAGCGTCCCCCCATCTCATGGCGTGGGTCGACGCGCCGCGCGTCAACGGCAAGTCGGTGCTGCAGCGTGTGACCGGCGGCGACGTCTCGTTGCGCAAGGGCCAGAAGCTTTGGAAGCTGCTGTGGCGCAACCTCATCCTCGTCATACAGCGCGTTGCCGAGCTGCAGCTCCAGGGCTCCCGCGTCTGCAATAAGACGGCTGCGGCGGAGGCGGCTGTTGCTGGGCGGCGAGAGCGAGCCATGACAATGGCGGTGTACGCCCGGCACCTGGAGGGGGCTGCCGCTGCCAAGGCCAAGGCGGCGCGGGGGGAGAGCGGCACCGGCAACGAGATGGGGTGGGAGGTGATGAGTGAAAGGGGGTTGTGGCTGATCGGCTTGCAGTGTGCCTTTGCGTGACTTTTTGTTGCGATGGGAAGACCTTGGGCGCATTGCCTTTGTGTCGCCATGTCATTGCTCAACAGCTGGCAGGCCAGTGCGATGGTTGAGCAGTGCCTGCTTTGATACGGTAGGGGTTTGTGATGCTCCTGCAAATGCACACGCACAGGCAATCAGCAAGGAGTGTGCCACAGCAACATCTTATTGCTGGGGCCGCGACAAAGCAGTTGCAAGCGCTGCACGCATGCGCTCAGCTAAGGCACGAACATGTGAGTTCATTATGGCGCTGCAGCTGTCCTTGTGTTTCTTGTTTTAAATGCCCGTAGCAGTAAACCCTGCCAAACATGTTGGTGTTTTGGATAGCACATGGATCCTTCAAAGGATGCTGGGCCGCGCTCAGCTCCAGCCTCTGATCTGTTGCGGCCAAAAGCAGACGTCTGTTTTCGGCCACACAGCAGCCAGGGTACATTGCTGAGATCTGCGCGGCACGGGTCTGACGTTTTGGGGTTCTGCCAGCTTTCAACACAGCCAGAAATGCAGCCACAACGCCCCAGCTGCAACTGCGTGTGTCGCGGCTGTTGTGATCGGCTTACAGCCGTTAGGACAGCTGAAGATACCATACCACCTTCTCTGCGGCCCAACACCAGGCCAGAGCACAGCATTGGGTGCTGGGTTCCATGACTGCGACACGCTGATGCCGCATGATGACAGGGCCCAGCTTTCAACAGCTAGCAAATGCGAGGCGTCGTAGCCTTGGCGGCGACACGGTGGCGGCTTGCTGCGGAGGCTGCCTTGCCGTGCTCGTCGGTGACTGCACCGTGCGCGGCCGGTCCTGTGGTGCCCAGCCTGGTCGCCTGGCCGCCAGGGGCCACCCCCCACTTGGCCCTGGGTCGGGTACCCGTCTTGTGCCGCAGTGCGGTACCCGGCGCGTACCCAACCCGACGTAACAAGCAAGGCCAAGCCCATTTTGCAAAGAGAGTCCGGCAGAAGTGTCAATGAATTTGTTTGATAGCAAAGCATTGTGACAGGATCCCGTGGTCGGTGTCTGCTGGGGCCGCCCAGGTTGACATGATTTGTACAATAATGTTACAAGATGTGGCGATTGCCAGCTGGAGCCGCCCAGGCTAATGGTGTTTGCACAAGTACAGAATGCCACAACAGCAATGCCATCTACACGCACAGCCGCAAAGCAAGCAGCACTCAATTCCTCCTCAGCCTCATGTCCCACAATTTCTCACGATCATCACGGTGGCTTGGTCAACCACACAAGGCATCGCGCGTCCCGTGCCCTTCCTGCCCTTCCTTTGAGCTTGGCGGCTGTCCGCCCTCTGCGCCAACAAACACGCCTGCCTGAGCAGAGCGGAGGCAGCGCCAGCGGAGCGCCGGGCGGCGCCCGGCAGTTTGCAAATCCCACAACTTTGCAGACGGGTCGAAATCCTAATGTGCATCACGTGGCGGGGCCCGACAGGCACCATGCCAGTGCGCCTGCACTCAACGGCCCTAGAAAGTCCGCGCAGCACACCATGCTGCCTTGCAGGGGCGGCTTGCTGA